AAAACAGCTGCATGAAATAAAACCAGAAACCAAGCGTCTATCAAAACCGTATTCAGCTCTGAATGGTGTGTGTATATCTTAAATACTGTAAAAGAAGGTGAAACCACGTCTTCTCTTGTTTTTCCGCCCCTCTCTCGCTCCCGCCTATGTCTGTCCATAACAGCCATATTCGGATGGGATAAGTATGCACGTCCACTGGGGTGCGTATGTTTGTGTGTGTTTGTGTGTGCGTATGCGTTATTACAGGAATAGAAATAAGGTAGATAAAGACAGGGAGCATAAGTGGGAAAAGTTCCTAATTGATTACAATCATCGATTAGCTCTGCCTCAAGCCAATAATTTCTAGCTATTACTATGCCTACACAAAATGAAGTGACACTAAAAATGCAATTTGACAGTGTTTTTAAACGACCAAGCAAGCGAGCAGAAAAACAAACAAACAAGATTTACTAAGGATTAAGCAGTGTTGTAATCTCTTTTCTTTTATACCCTGCATAGCATAAAATTTAAGTAAAATGTGTCCTTTCAAATACTCAGTACTTCTTTTTCATTGGTTGGGAAGGGAATGTAATTGCGTAGGTGTCTGATTAGGTATTCAGCAAGAGAAAAAGTAGTAGGCAATATAGACTAGTGATCCCGCCTGACTACTATCTTGATTACTGGTTGATACGGTAACTCTGAATCAATAAGGTATCCTTCACCAGTGTCTATATCTATTGTTATTATTTCTGAAGTGCATATGAAATTGTTTTGTCTTTTAAATAGGTTACCGGATAGCGTGTAATGAAACAAAGCTTAGTGCATCTAGTTTGACATGAGTACAGATTCTTGTAACCGGTATACCATGGGGTGATGAGTCGCAAAATTATTACCCATGGAGTCTCAACATAGTAACTCTAAAATTAAGTTTTTGTATCCTAGATTAGGTTCTATGTGAAGCATTGATAAACGATACGCTCAGTTGCACAGAATGCTTTTCAAGAACAGTAAAAACATTCACTAGTAAACTTTTTAGGAAATTCTCCTGAATCAGATAGTTATTTAATCACAGATTGCCTTTAACAGTTTACCTAGACTGATAACGCTCTGTAACACTTGCAGAGGGAAACAAATTAAAGGGAGAACTTTCAATTACACCTGTATACCTTTTGTAGAGTTTACATAACATTTTTAATACATCATCACATTATAACATCTTCGACGAGTGCGGAAACAGTGAGAAGAGGTGAAACTCACAGTATACAGCTGAACACTGTCTAGAGGGTTGTAGTTAGAAGTTTATAGGAGAACTGTCAGCTTTGATGTTGGTTGTGTTAAACACCGATCCGATAGGAGATTCTGATTAACTTACGCTTATTTGCAATCTCTGCGATATTCCCACCATTCAGTCCTGATGTCCCCGACTTAACCAGATGACAGACACATTTTACTTGACCAGATTTTGTATACTGTTTACTAATTGAAAGGCACACAACAAAATCGTTACAACCTGAATCTTGACTGAATTCTGTCAACCGAGTGACTAATATGACCATAAAGTTCGGTGACACGAATGTATTGTCCACCTAATCTGGTGTTGTGCCTTACTGGGATTAAAACTGTTATGGTCGCCGAAATATACTCGTCTGTTTGATTTAGACAAGCTTTTTCTCTGACTACATTGAGTTGCATTAGATTTCTATTGCCTCCTTAGTGACTACTTCTACAAGAATAAATCTGCAATACAGCTGAAAACCTGAATCCCTGAAAACGACTTGTGTTGAGCAGTTGACTTAAGTGAGTTTTTGACACACACACACACAATCAGAATACACTGTGATGACGACGCTGATTAGCGTCACTGCAATCAGCCGCCACCTATACGGCTTTTTAATTTATGAACAGCGCTTATTTAATGGAACTACTCAAGGAACTCAGGCATCAGTACGGGGAAAAGATCTTTTATCCTACACTCAGTAGTCAAGAGTCAGTTTTCAGTTGTGTCTTCGGACACTAGATCTAAATTACAACAAAATTTACTATTGCCTGCCATAATTCAAACAAGTTAGAATTTCATGCAGACATCAACACACTTTTGTTTCATGAAATCATCAAAGGAGACCCAACTTCATACACACTTTCTTGAGAGTAAGAGTGGACAATAACTAAGTGTGTACCGACACTCTGTGCTGAATTACTGATAATCGCTTTCATCACTGGTGAGACGAATACAATTCGAGTTATGGATAAACAACACACCATAATTTGAGTTCATCCTCTGCGTAATTGCAAGCTTCAGTAGCAACTGCAAACAAGAAAACTGAGTATAGAGATATACCTCTGCAAAATATGTCAATAAACGCATTTTAATCCTAATTTTTAAAAGTTCAAACTTGTTTTTTCTGGTTATTTGTAGTTATAGTTGACATTTTACATTCCTGTATTTTAAATATATTTTTAAGTGTTATCTGCATGATAAATGAGGGAGACAGTGATTTCACCTATAATAATATTGATTTATGCATCAAACTACTTAGCTGACACGCTTAGCATGTACCAATTTTTTGTTTAAACAGATATAATTTGAAATGCACACTTTGGGACGAAAAAGTACTTTAGCAGCTTATTTCAGTGTTCCCCTTCTCTGGCTCATGTATGTGTATACGAATAGAAAGATTCATTAGGCTGAAAGTTATGTTTTACTTTAATCTGGCCTCATAGTTTTACTTAACGGAAAGTTGGACTGTAAGCAAGACTTTATAAGTGATGGTCATTTTAAAAGATATTCGGGAACAGACGATTAGGTAACTATTCCACTTAAAATTGACCTCTGCAAATCGTTTGAATATATAGTAGATCAGACGATAGATTATCCAAGCTCAAAAAAACAACAATTAGAGGTGAAGTTAGATCCAAACTGAATCAGCTCACTAATAGCCTTGAGCAAACCAGTGAGACCAGACAAGTAATACCACATTCACTTAAAGAAAATGCTCAAAGAAGGGTAAGAATATCAAACAGGACGCCTTTCTTGAAAATATGTGAGATTAACTTCCAGTCTCTCAAAGGAGTGCTGTTATTCATACAGATGACTATTACTAATGGTTAGGAGCCAGAAGTTTTCTTAGGTTAAGATTAAGTTTGCGACAGATTTTAGTTAAACCAAAGTGAAGTTAGCGTTATATTAGGGTTAAGAGCCAGATTAAAGTCAGTTTACCATTGGGTTACCATCAGAGTGGATTATAGTTAACCAAATGCTAGGTTTAGGAATTATTGATTTAAGTTCGACTTAAAGCATTTTGAGGAAAAAATCTTTTCCTCCTAGATCCTGAGAAGTGCATTCATTGCTAATACTTAACTTAATTTCTGTTTTCTCACTCAAATTTACCTTTTTGATGTATTTTGTGAATTCAAAGTCGTTAAAATGTCTTAAAAATGTATCCCAACTGATATTAACATAGCCCATGTATAATCAAGGGTGGCTCATAGCCTAGCACATAAATATGTGTACGATGTCAGTACACAGCATTGTTCATCAGTATTTTAGAATTACACCAACATTACCTAATACATACAAACAAATAACTAGTTATGAAAAAACAACCAAGTTATTCATGAGATGTATACATTCTTATGAAATGTCACTTAAACATATGGTCTTGTTAATGATCTCTTCTGTGACTGGAGTACACCTTAGAATATACAATAACAAGCTTTATGTGCCAATTATTGCACTGGTGAGTGTAGATAATCAGGATAGACTGTTTCAAAAAGATTGCTAACCGCTTCCACAGAATTAATTTTTAATAAATTTCACTGGAATACTTCAAGAGTTTATGAAGAGTGTCAGTAGTATTAAAAAAGCTTATATCGGTGTAAATCTTAGCCTATTTGGGTTTTTATAATGCTAAGAATCAGCCGTTGGAGACTGTTCGATATAGCTAAAAGTTGTTCTCAGTGGATGAAGTGTAATCATTCTTCGTGGTCCTCTACATTAATTAAATCTTCATTATTATGTATCAGCAGGTGCCTTCACTGCATCTCAGAATCAGATGGCCAGCCATAAAGGATAAGCAACAAGGAACTTCGGCAACGATTTAACCAAATATCTATCACCCAACAAATATGCTTAGGGAAATGGAGACGGATTTACTACACTATGAGGAAACTGATGAGTGCATCAAGTGACGGAACCTCGAATGGAAAATAACGACGTGGGTGTGGTCCCATGGTGACATGGAGCTGATTATATGAGGATGGAATGAAAGCTTTTGGGCAATCATGCAGCCAGGTAAAAAACGACAGAACTTAAGGGAATAATAATGTGACTATTTATCTAATTATTCTATTTCCTGGGCATTTTTTTGTTGTAGGTAGTTTCACCGCATTTTTTCCTACCTTTGTGCACGTTTTGAGAGAATCTGCATTAATTTTCGGAATTCTTTTAGTTCTAATATTTCTATTCAGGACTCCCTCGAGCTTCAAACTATTATAATTATCATCATTTTACAAAATCTTTTATAGTTCTCAGTGTAACGTTTTACCTCATGTAACTATCACATTTGTTCACAACTTTTCGCGTTGTATTATATAACTACTTTTAATAAGTGCGAAATTCTTACACTCACCCCAGATAATTCCTCCTCTTATTTCATAAGTCTACATGAATTTTTGAATAAATCGTCCCTGTACAACTTTCGTTATAGACACCTGCTTAATTATCAAGAGTGATGTAAGGGAAAAATTGGTGAATACTCATCGCTTTCCTCTACAGGAAGCAAAATCAAGGTAAAAGGACCAGTTTCATTTTAATTCATCATCATCAAACATTGTTGTCTTTTATGAATCCGATTTCTGAAGATTTCGGGATAGCCATATGTATAAAACCTGTTGGATAAACTCTACAATCTGTAGTTCTGGAATTAAATATGGTATCACTCCATAATAGTTCATTATTCAAACCACCAGGTAAAATATTCAAGAACAACTTGTCATTAAAGGCTAGAAAATACGCAACCTACCGATATTTTTCTTCAGGATACGGTTTTCATCGAAGGGAACCCCGCGTATTACTAGGTCGTATATCCGAGTCCATCCCTCTACTGATGACTGAAATGACCATAGCAGACTATCACCAACAAAGCCAGGACGTGAACTGTCATATTCATTACAAGCAGGTACACAAATTGTTGTCGTTTTCTTAACTGAACAGTTGTAGGGAGATCCAAAATGGTTTGTCATATTCTTGTTAAATCCATAGCCAATTCTAATACTTTGATTCAGCTTTTCAGGTTGGTCAGCTAGTAAGGAAAATTTATACATGAAGTTTTGTTTACTCTTGCAGTGATCGAAATTACTACGATATATAGTAAATTGAAACATGTCCTTGAATTTTTAGGCTTCTGAGGAAACATCTCAGGCTCTTAAATTATGAAACTCATTTTCAACAGGCCTCTAACGCACTATGGAAGCAATGGTGAAGTAACGATCCATGAGAACCAAAACAATCTGTGTTCTTTTGGAGAAGCAGGAATATAATAAAACAAAAATAGGTGATATGTGATATGTTCCTCTAATTAAAATATTTCAAACCGATTTCATCAATTATCAGATCCTACTTGTTATATTAACATAAATCCATACTGGGTTGGTGCCAGTCTTCTTGATACACTGATAGCATAACTTGTAATTAAGCCTAATAAATTAGTTACTAAAAGGACTGAAATGTGAACCTGAAGAACTCTAAAATGTTCTATTAACTTCTATCCTATGACGTTACTAGGTTTCCTTTTACTTCAGCCATATTCAGTCCAAATGTTCACTTGTAATTATACAACTTCACAGTAAGAAACTTTGGGCGAAATACAGTTCAAAACCTGCGTTATACTTGCCAGCTAATCTTTTTAAACACTAGCAACTACTAAATGCTAATGCAACAGGTAAAAGGAATAAATAATTTCATTTGAAACTTTTCAGTGCAACGCACAGTGATATAAACATCCGCACACGACCTAGTCAACTAAAAACGAATTTCGTGATACCGTAAAGGTTGCTTGGTAGTTTCGAAAGTCTCAGTGCTCCTCGTATCGCAATTATTAAAATCAAAAGAATGTAGTTAATTAAACAAGCGAAACTGTTTTTTGATATTAGGACAAATATTAATGACATGTAAATATTGGGATAATTAGAGCAACCAATTGTTTTTAACAACTTCCACAAGTTCCATGATTGCGAATATATTAACACACAACAACCAATAAAGTTTAAATAAGGTTATATCAGCAACTTCATTATGACACATAGGATGAAGGAGAGTAAAAGCACGAGATAGTGTCGCAGGAAACTAATTTTGGTTGTTATTTAAACGCGTACAAAGTGTAAAGTTAATAGAAACACGATTCGAAATAACTGAATGATATGTTTACGGGAAAAACTCAAACTTTTAGAATTTTAATCAGTAGGATGACATAAAATATTAGTAAGAGAAGTAGACAAATGAACATATGGAATTCTCAGTAAGGAAGCCTAAAAGATGACATAACGATAATAGCAATAATAATGACAATGTGTCCTATAAAGTAAACACGATGGTAGTATTAGTGGAAAACTACCGTGTAAAAATGGATTTGATACAGCGGGGAGAAACGGTTCAGTAACAAATGTGAAAGAATATGCACAGTTGCAGGAAGAAATTACTAGTAATAGGCCTTAAAGGCAAGGTAATCAAGTCATAAATGTGTGACACAAAAGTTTTTTCAATTAAACAGGAGGACAAAAGAAAAGTAAGGGATAGAGATTTCAAGTGTAGGTTATTTTAAAAAAATATTAACGGAAAATGCTTTGCACCATCTTTAAGGCCTGGGTAAACAAGGTCGGTGAGCATTTTTTCAGGTTTGCTGGTGTCAATTCCTTCTATTGTGGCTACCAAAACAGTCGAGCTCATTTTGGTAAGTCTCTGAGGATATGGTATGCTAAAGGAAACGTACTTCCTTCACTATCAATTTGATAAAAGATGCACTATTAGTGTATTCTGTTACTAATTCACCTAACCATGCAGAAAAATGTTCACAGTGGAGTATGAAAAAAACCTCTACTTATGGCATATGTAACAGGAGTAGTTGAACTCATTGTAATTTATCCTTGGTTTTCTGTGAGTACTAGCTTTGTTAAAAAAACAGCTGAGCACCAATTCGTCTGCAGCAAAACCGCGCCATTTCATCTGTTTAGTTTATACTTTATAATACCAGTGGCAGTGTCTAAGATATGATGTTTTTATTTGCAGTGTTTAACACTAGTCTGAGTACTCTCACGATATATATTCCTCTTCAAATGTTTGTCTGATGAAGAGAATACTGTCCCTTCTCATAGTTGGGTATACATTATGAAAAAGATCCAGGTTGAAGTCTGCCATAAACGATGGCATTATCTACATAAGCAAAATAATGCATTGTATTCACTTGAATAGTTAGCAAAATAAACTGCTTACTGTTGCATTTATTAAATTAATCCAACTTCACGCTTCCTACTATAACAGAGTAGTTGATATGATTTTATTATAACTTTATTGGCTATTATTGCAGGACTCGAGGAGCATTCTGTTAGAGTTATTTATAAATTACTGAAAACGATTGTTCGTTTTCATTTTTCCTCTAATTAAATTACAATTTTCAAATACTGTCGTTGGTAGAAAAACACAGTGAAATACCCGGAGACATACATACTTCCAATAAATGTTTATTATTTATAATGCAGCTTTTAGATTGCTAGTAGCAGATTAGCATTGTAAGTGAATCTCAAAACACACCTAAGGCAGTTCAGTCAAATGGTTAATGTATATACTCCATGCATGGATGGAGTGTAGAATTACGCGTTTTCCAAGTCAAACAAAGAAGACCTTTACAATACACTGTACCTGTTTCTTTCATTTAAAAAATCTGCAAATATTACTCTTCAACCTCAGTCAGGCTCTTATACAAATACTACAATTCTTCCTTAGCTGAGCTATCAACATATCGCTCAAGAATATGAAACTCTCTTTATCTTGTCTATGTACAAGAACAAGATTTAATTTAAGATTAAAATAACAATTCTGAAAATCTACACAATCCTAGGAACTTACAAACAATCTCCACTAATTTTATCTGGTACAATCCCCCGAGATCGACTAGCAAATCAACCTTTTGACCGATGGCAGCATGAAACACTCCATGTGTATTTCTGTCGTTATCAAACACATTTTTTAACTCCCTCGCGGCAGGAATTTTGGTTATGATTCTTTCATTATGCGGCTTTACGTCGATTATATTGTCTCCTATTGCGTTTGTAAATAAACTGGACACATATGCAAGAGTGAAAAAGAACCAATAAGCCAACCACATTATCTTTGACTTAGGTCCTAATCAAAACTGCACTAGAGTCAGGGAAATCACATCAGTAGTTTATTAAAACACAGATGACCTAGGGTTCAAAAGAAAAATGTTTTTTCCGAGGTGTTGAAATTTTTTTCCTCTCTTCCAACCGATTAATGATTACTACTATATTTTGCGTAATGGAAATGAAGGATTCTGTCAAATAAGTGTCTATGAATTTCATATGCTATTGTAGATGATACCATAAACAGGTTTTGGAAAATTCGTGTACTGACAAAATGTAGAGAACTATAGATGTATCCAGCGACAGTGCAGTGTTTAAGTACCATTATTTTTAATGTGGTGAAGTACTTCATATTTCAATGTTTATCTAATCTTCCTATTGACTGATTTACATAAGACAGAAATACTCAATAGTAGGACTCAGCCTCCATGCATCATATGACACTTCATTGACCATTGGATATCGTTTTAGCCTTCCCACTGGGAGCTATTGTTTCAACAAAGACAATTATTTCGGTCCAATAAGGAAGTTCTGATTATTTTAAGCAAATAATAACTGATACTCATCGCACATGAGATGGCTGCCATATCCAAGTAGTTAATGCTCTGTGGTTTTAAACAGTTGCCTTCTGCGAATATGCTGACTCATTAAATTGACAAGTCTTAAATGGAATGAAATGCGCACCCTAAATTTCACTTCTACCTAGTATGAACCAAGTGGTAGAATAGGTCATTGTATCATAAAATCTCGAGTATTTTTTTTTACCTTCGCGTTCCCCAGTGAAACATAGGGCCTCAAGCTAGTGACTTGAAGTTTCTGTAGCAGTGTTTATTTTACAGGATGGGGTTGCTAGCCTCATGCCCAACCTTTCCTCTACACCAGCATTATTTCTGGCTTAGCGGGGTAAAGGAGTGCGTCGGCCGGCGATCGAAACCTTGACCATGTGCATGGTCGGCGAGCGTCCTAACCGCTGTGCCACCGACGCACATAAAATCTCGAGTATTACTCCTGGAAATTTACAGTACAGCAAGCTAAATTATGAAATCACTATCTGTGTAACCGTCTCTGAATGCTTTACATTAGTCATCAAAATAGTGTTTCGGAGTCCAACTTTTAAGTGTCACAGCTCTCTTGTATAATCCCTTAATCATCAAAATAAATGCTGTAGTTACGTTGCCGCAGAGGATTAAGATGATCCTAAAGTGGTGTGGATTAATGCATTCCGCCCGAAATAAAATTCTCCTCAATAGTGATCATACACTGCTGTTGACCATCGGCGAAATATCCCAAATCAACAAACAAGTTGTTCATGTGGGATAAACACATATCAAGGAATTCTATAGACTCCGATAAATTACTGTAGTTTCAGTAGAAATTATATTTAATTAGACACCATTCGCAAGGGATTCTCTAGGGCTGTGTAAGCACAAGAAATCCAGGTGGGTCGAAATCCCCACTTTTCAAAAGGCTTGTTAGATGAACTAAGAATAGAAAAAGTATTCCACTATTGTAATAAGATCCTGATAAGTATGGCCAAGGCGTGAATTGGCTGGCGCGTCCTTTTAGTGGTGATTCGATTAAATGTCCCAGGTGCATCTTTGGCACCTAAAAAGTTGATGAATAGAACTAGACAGCTTTTAGACTAATTGAAATATTTCTTACGGTCAGCATGTGGTGAGATGTTATGCCAGGGGTTTGATCTGAAGAGATGAAAGATGCGCAGCTTAATTTTCGACAGGATATTCGTTGTTGCCAATGTATTCTCTGTGCACCAGGTAAGATTTAATATTGTCGAAATTGTTTCAGAGGCACTACTGAAGGTATTGCGCCTTCCACCGGTGTTAAACAGTGAATGATAATGAGTCTGAACTAGTTTATCTCCAACTATTTTGTGAATGCACCAGACGTAGAGGTTGACAAATTTTCGTTCTATGGCTATTACATCGATATGACAACTCAACAGTGCAATGGTAACTGCTCACATGGTACATTTCATAGTTACGGGGAAAAGTATTACCCACACTACTCCTTCGGATATCAAGTTAAGGCTGCATTCGTTTAGGACGTCTTTTGATGAGTAGATGCAAAGGCGTAAGACACTTGCTTTATTATTCACACACGTCCAGAGGGATGAGGATGATTAAGAACTAGTAACCGAGTTAAACTGCGTTACTAAATCATTACAAATTTACCCATCCAAACAGCAGTTTTGGTACACGACGGGATTTTTATTTTTACTGCCCATACAATCACAACCGAAATAGATAAATACAAAGGCCGGAGTCAATGGGAATTTCGATACAAGTTTTGATAATGGATAAATGGTCACTACGAATTGTTAGCTGTTTATTTGCAGGTAATAAACTGGGATTCAAACTCCATTCCCCTCCCCCGATATCCGTTTCTTCATGTAACGTATGTGCTAAGTAGAGCATGCATTTATTTCCATATTTAGCCGTAGGAGGATGTATTCGAATGAAGCTTCTACGAGTCCTTCCTGAAAGATAAGAGGAGAAAATTATAACATATGCCAAGGTGATATTAACCTACTCCCTACATGCGTTTAAGTGTCTGTCAATAAAACAGTCAGTAAACTGAGTCGTACACATGAACTTCAAAGTCCTACAAAAAATGAAACATTCTCATATAAGAAGTCCAGGTAATACTTGAGATCAGGATAAAAAAAAGACGGAATGCGTTAAGTAATAATGTGAAAAAGATAAGGCTTATTAATACCAGAAAGTTACGCTAATCGAAAGATTTTCGGAAAATGAACAAGATGTTAGACGACCTACAAAGATAAAGCGAAACATAATCTCGACATTGGTGAGATTGGATTTCATTACCACTAGACCGACGTTAGCATTAAGAGAAGTTGTGACTGAATGAAGTCGACAAGAGGTTTGCCCACGCATGGAAATATGAACGGTTGTCCAACATTTAGCCAGTTTCAGTCCGAAAACGTATTTTATTGCGTGCTGATGATTTGTGAGAACCGATGGCACCAAATATGAACAAATCTCTTAGTCAGAACGCTTATTACGTCACAAAGACCTACCCTATATCACCGATTCTGAAACTTGAGGCCTTCAAAGACGTCACTTATAAAAGAGTTTTTGATTGGCCCACCACAACTTGATGCCTTATAAAGGTCTGCTTAAAAATACTAATCAAGCCATCCATCTATAATAACCCTTATTTCGCTTATAATTTCGGGAAATGTTATTCAGAAATGAGAAGTATTTCTGCGTCCTAGCGACTTTCGATCATTTAACGCCATAAGTAATTGTATTTTAAACGAATAGACTTAAACGAAATGATAGCATAATAATTTCCTAACAGATCGTCTTTGAACTGCATTCGATATCTCAAAAAGACTCACGGATTTAGAATGGAAACTGTGTCCGAAGGAGCGGGATATACACTGTGTTCGCAAATCGGAAACAGCAAAGGAGAAAATAGAAAAGTGATTGTGGCAAAAAGAAGTGTGTTGGGAAATGCCATCGTTCAGGTCTAACTACACTGGACTTGACGATGTCCTTGGAAGACCTTCAGCAACAATGTGCAAAAACCAACGCGAAAAAACAGAACACAGGTTGGTGACTCAACAATCCTGTATTCTTGCACCAATATGGAACCAACTACAATGTCTAAGAATAAATGTCACAACAATTAACCACAATAATACTTCTGATAGTATTTCCCCGTCTTTCAACGAACGGCGTACGATGGAACGATGACTGCAGTATCGATGACTCACGCCAAAATATGGAGTTGGTTTTGAGTAAACAACCATGAATTGATCGTTCATTCTTCAACTGCATTGATACTCCCTGGCAAAAAAGGGATCCATCCCTTTTTACCATCACGACCAGTACACGTTGACTTGAATGCCAGTGCGAGAACCTGGGCCACAAGGACAAAACTGAAATGGAAAACAAACAACAAAGCCAACACACCACAGGCATACCCACACTACAATCTCACTCGTCAACAGCGACCTACGCCTTTCAGTTAAAGGCATCCTCTTGACATCTTGCAACATAATCGCCATTCGCTAGAATGACTCATACAGAAAGCAATATGACCGTAGCAGCACCTCATGATACTCTTCGCAAATCCCCCTATCTATTCAGTACTGATTCCCACCGCTATCACTTGTCACTCATTCTGCCTCAGTCCTAGTAACGGTGACGTATGCAAGCTTCAGTCGTCTACACTCTCGCTCCCCGGCGTGTGGGACCCCAGCCTGAATCGAAACATTCATTCTCAATCATTGCTCCCACAACTAATCCTTGTCTATGTGTGCATGCCATTCTCAGAACTAGACTCCCAGGCGTATACGATCAGTCTGCTGTCTTTAACATCAATCAATTCATTCACAGATGTAGAAGACTCAAAACAACTTCAGAAGTAAGCACAACGGAAATCTTAATAAAATTATACAATACAACAAGATATGAAAACAACAAGTAAACAGAGTGAATCCAAAAACACCAATTGATATGACACACCGTGCATATATACAAACAGTATACATAACCTCGCAGACCATGTCTTGATGTAATTCCTTTGAAGAATCGCAGGACTTACACCAGTACGCCTGCAACCCCTCTCAGGTTGACGATTCTAAGTAGGAAACTCGTCAAGTGGTTCATCCTCTGGCTCTCAACTCTCAGCACCTTCCAGCAGACACAGTTTCCTAATATTTCTCACCAACATGTCACAATGTGTTCTCACCTCGACCGTCCTCACCAACCCATCACCACTACAGAGTACCCTTTCAACCACTCCCAAAGGCCATCTACCTGTGGCACATTTGCCTGCTACTAAGACTATATCACCGACGTTTAAGTTTCTGCACAACTTTTTCCACTTGTCTCTTGTTCGCAGTCTTAGGACATGCTCTTTTAACCATCTTTTCCAAAATATATCTTTCATGGACCTGGCTTGTTTCCATCTTTTAATCGTAGGTATTCGTTCCGCACTCAAGTACCCTATGCCA